CACCAGTGTATATTTTCTACCACCAATGTCCCCAGTCTCTTTTACCATCCCACCCCTCCCCGTCTCTATGGAAGACAACTTCCCTCATACTCTCATACTCTCTCTCTACTTTGAGCATTATAGTTTGCAATACAGATACTGAGAGGCCATCACGATCGGTCCTCTGTCTACTTTCAGCACACATCTCCCATCTTGAGCGATACCTCCACGCATCATTGACTCAGTGATCCCTTCTCTATCCCAGCTGCCTTCTCCCTCTGCTCACGAGGCAGGCTTTCAACCTTGGCCCCGATTTAAAAAAAAAAAATTTCACTTTGAGACTAGAAAGATAGTACAGTCGGTAGGGCAATTGTCTTGTAACTTGGTGAACAGGTTTGATCCCTAGCACCCCCCTACTGCTCTCTGAGCCCTGCTGGGAAAGATTCCTGAGCGCAGAGCTAGAAGTAAACTCTGAGCACTGTGGCCCAAAACACAACAACAAAATTTACATTTTTATGGAATTAGAGAAAGAAAACAAGTTTAAGGCACTTGCCTTGATGCAGTCAACCCTGGTTCAATCCCCAGCCCCACCGGTTTCCCTAAGCACTGAGAACAGGGTCCCCAAGCATAGAGTTAGAAGTAGCTCCACAGCACCACCAGGTGTGACTCAAACCCTTAAATTAATAAAAGTAAGTTTACACTTATGATCCAAGTAATAATTTCCATATTTCAGAATCTCTGAACCTTGTGCATGAAGTCATTGATCACGTGCAATCATGGCCTGCAGTGTTTCTTTTCAAGCTCAATACTGGGGATCTGCTGGCACCCATTTCCGACTCTCCCACGTGGATACCCGAGCTGGTATGGTCTGAGGGTTCCCACAACGGGCTATAGGACCCTCTCTCCACAACTTTCTCCTCAGACCTCCACATTCTTTTTATCTTTAGCTTTTTGGGTCACCCAAAGTGATGCACAGGGGTTACTCCTGGCTCTGCACTCAGGAGTTAGTCCTGGCGGTACTCAGGGGACCATATGGGATGCTGGGAATCAAACCCGTGTCCGTTGTGTGCAAGGCAAACACCCTACCCGCTATATTATTGCTCTGGCCCCAGACCACCACATTCTTTTTTTTTTTTTTTTTTTTTTTTTTTGCTTTTTGGGTCACACCTGGTGATGCACAGGAGTTACTCCTGGTTCATGCACTCAGGAATTACTCCTGGCGGTGCTCGGGGAACCATATGGGATGCTGGGAATCGAACCTAGGTCGGCTGAGTGCAAGGCAAATGCCCTACCTGCTATGCTATTGCTCCAGCCCCAGACCTCCACATTCTTCATCTGAAGCTTTTTCTTTTCAACTATTTTTCACTTTCTTTTTCTTGGGGCAGAGAGGGTATTCAGGGGGGCCTAGTGAGCACTCCAGGCAATTCTTGGCCAACTGGGCTGGACAGGTCAGTCCAGGACCTGGGGATACAACACTATTTGGGTTCTGCCATATGGGGCGACCAGGGCCACGGTCAATGGTTCTGGGTGTGGGGGAGGGCATATGGTTGTTGAGGTTTGGACCCAGGTCCCAGAACCTGTAAGACATGCTCCCGACCACTGTACTACCACACGGTCTGTCCAGGAACAAGCTCTGTTGTCATTTTTTTGTGGTTTTGGGGTCACACTTGGCAGTTCTTTGGCTACTCTGGGGTCTCTGCTGGGCGGGGGTTGCTGGGAACTTGTGTCTCTTGTATGTAAAGCCAGTGCTGGTGTGTTAACTTTCCCACCTCAAGAAATGCAAGACCTATGTGGTGTGTGTGTGTGTGTGTGTGTGTGTGTGTGTGTGGGCGGGGAGGGAGGGGATTGAGAGGGAGCTGAGGTACCAGGGCCCTGGTTGTGAGAAAGGGCTCTCTGATGATGAGTATGGTGTTGGAATGATATGCATGAAAAATATGTTTATATAAAACTTGGCCAAAGAAAGGAGTGAAGGAAGGCAAGGTCTTTTGTTCGGGGACCACACTTTCTGGTACTCAAAGCTCTAAGCAGCCTTCAAAACCATACCAAAATCAAGGCTTTTTAATGTATTATTTAGTATTTTTGGCCAAATCAGGGCTCACACCTGGCTCTGTGCTGGTTATAGGTGAGACACAAAACTACCTGCTGCCCTTTTCTTCAAACTGGTGCCCAATGTTGGATTCCATTCTCCCAGCCCCAACAGACTCAGTGCTGGAAATGGAAAGGGCCTTCCAGGGTACCACCTGGTTTAGTTTGTGGCTAATCTAAAAGGAGCGGACGAGGATGAGGGCAAGAGGATGAGAAGACTGAGGGTTCTCCCTCTGATTCTGTTTCCACTGCACACACCTAAAGAGCCCAGTGCACAGCACTGCTAATGCAGGCACTCATCTATTTCTACCCACAATTTCCCAACAGCTTTCTTTGGGCACTCCTGGAAGTGCTCATGGAGGACTATAGGCAGGGGACAGAACTGGGGCTGGCTGCAAGCAAGGCAAGTGCTTAAACCCCAGTCCGATCACTCTAGTCCACCAAATGGAGCCCACCAAAGGTAGTTTTAATTGTGAGGGGAGAGAGGGAGAAGCATGTGTTCAAGGGAGATTATAGGCTTCTCTAGAGTGGAAAAGAGATTAAGCATTTTCTTGAAGTCAAATGTGTGTTCAAGGGAGAACCCAGGCTTGAAGAGCAAGCCCCAAATGAATTCCAATCCATAAAGCTGAACTTAAGTGGGTTCCTTAAGGCAGTCACGTTTTTTTCTGACATGGTCCAAGTTCACAGTGGGCACTGTCAGTGGACTGGAGGGTTTCCAGGAACATCAGGGATCACTAGCTCAAGTTCAGTGTCACTATCTGAGCGCCCAGAGGGCTCAAGAAATGGTGTAACTGTCTCCTTTCAGGGCAGCAGAGGTCAGTGATTAGTGGGTCATCAGTGAGGGGTTACCAGACATTTAGCCTAGTATGGACTTAGAAAACAGGAGCTGGACTGAACTCCCCCCGCCATACATGTTTAGGATTTACCCAAGAGACATTTGTCAAGGAGGGAGGAGCAGGATTTAATAATACAGTAGACATTGGCATCACGGCACCTTGCACTCTAAACTCCTTCCGATCTTCCAGACGGTCAATGAACTATTTTCTCCTGCCCCGAATGAAGAGGAGTGGGGAAGAGTAAATTGGGAATTCCTCCTTTGTTGGTCAAACTCACTTTTCAGCATTAATTCACGGATCGATGAAAGAGGTAAAATCCCACAGGGTGCCCGCTCTCGGCCTTGCAGAAGTCAGCAGGGTTTAATGCCAGGGCATTCTTCCAGGTTCCACCAGGCTTCCCAGGCAGAGAGCGCCATGCAGTGCCAAGGGCCCAAGTCTGGGCCTCTGAGCATGTGAGGCTCTAGTGTTTGAACTCTCTGCTCGGCCCCAGAAAAGCCATTCGAAAAACATCTGGGCCACGGAGACAGGACAGGGCAATAGGCAGGTGCTTTGTACCTGCTCAGAAAATCTGGTTGTGACTCTCTTGGTGCTGTGGTGCTCAGGACTTATTCCTGGCCCTGTGTTCAGAGAATAACTCCAGATAGGAGTTGGGGGACCATATGGGGTGCCAGGGATCCAACTGGGGTCAGTCAGATGCAAGGCAGGTGCCTCATCTGCTGTATTATCTTTCTGGCTCACGTCTGTTTTTGGTTTTGGTTCCTATCTTTAATAATAAACAGGTAGGCAATTTCCTTCACTATTTTTTCCTTATTTTAGATCAGCTGACAAAGTGAACAGTGCAAAGAAGAAAATTAGGAATTTATCTCTCTTAATCTTATTTTGTGGGGGAGGAGGTGTGGGGCCGCACCTGGCTGTGGTCAGGGATCTCTCCTGGTGGTGCTCCAGGCACCTTTTGTGGTGCCAATGATTGAACCAGAGCTCAAGTTTGCATGCCAGGCAAGTACCTTACCTCTTTTACTATCTCTCTGGCTCAATTTAAAAAAAATTTACTATGTGTGCTGTACTTTGAACAAAATCTTTGAGGACTGGAACATGTATGTGATCAGTCGATAACTGTCCTCTAGAGAATATATACTCAAAACAGTTTATCAATGACTAATAAGGTTAAGTCACAGTGATGATCTTAATACTTCTGTAAGCCACAGACAGGTAGGAATAGATTGAAAGATATAAGCAAAATCAGAATATTTGCAAATAAGGGGGAAAATAGCTTTTGACACCCAGAGATCCTGCCTTGAAAATAAAAGTACCATTTGGGATATTTAGTGTCTCTCTGAAAGGCAGGAAGTGTCTCATGTTTTGCCAGGAGGCACCAATAGTTTGGAAGCAGATTAATTACTGCTCTGTCTTTGATCTGGTTCTCCTAGTTTACAGTTGCTTATTCACTATGGGGGCGGAGGAAGGGGCTTGCATGCTAACGAGACTATGCCTGTTGAAGCTGAATGAGAAAGGTGGGAAATCACCGCAACAGAAGAGAGCATTTGTTCACCTCCCTTTGCCCTATCGCTGAGAGAATCATTTCCCTTCTCTCATGAAGAAAGCACACATACCCAAGTCTGAAAAGTACCAAGAGCCTATTTAAACTAAGAGGTTCGCTTTTTGAACAAAACACGGCTCCTAGTACATGAGGTGTTTTTTATTTTTAAATTTCATTAAAGAAATCATTTCACTATTCATGGAAACACATCTTTTCATGGCATGGGGCGGGGGTATCCAAATTCCTTCCTCCCAAACATGAGGTGTTTGGGAGGAAGGAGTTTAGAGTGCAAGGTACTGTGATGACAATGTCCAGAAGTGACCACTAGGGGGGTATTAGGCTTATACCCCAGTATATACACTTAGGGCAAGGCTCACACTGAAATTTCTGTTTAGCTATGGCAGGCTATGGGCATCTCTTTGATTCCCAACTTGGGCACATCACTGGTCCAAACAAGCAAACAGAATATGTAAATAATGCATATGCACATGTACACCTGTATACACACACACACACACACACACACGAAAGGCAGATGGTTTACAAGGCACATGACTGGGTACCTGGGACACTCTCCAATTTCCTGCGGAGTTCTTCATTTTCTTGCTGTAGAGAAATGACCTCCTGCTCCAGCTCTTGGCATCGTGGGCAGTAGCCTTCCTCTTCCTCCTCCTCTTCCTCTTCGGGCAGGGTGGAGGAGGATGGGTGGCCATGGGATTCGGATGTGGCCGGTGAGGTCCAGCCCCCTAATGTATGCACGGGGGAGGTGGACAGAGGGTCGCCCTCGGCCAGGTGGCCATACTCACTGATAGAGGAGGTGCTGGCAGTGGGGAAGCTTCCAGAAAGCAGGTAATTCTGTAGGGAGTCTGTGAAAACCCGCAGGAAGGCTGAGGTTTGCTGTTTCCTTTGCATATATTGCATCTCTATGTCTAAACTGTCTGAGGTCTGACTGTGGACTCCTTTCCCCATGTGGCATGGCTCCTGTCTTTCGGGGTAACTTGAGCCTTCCTGTTTGACGAAAGAAATCATGGATGGGGAGTGACTGGAGTCCAGAAGTTTTCCTCCACAGTTTAAGAGGCTAAGGACGCGGCTACATTGCTGGGCGAAAGCATCCAAGATCATACGGCTCTCTGTAAACAAAGGGAAGACGTGTCAAAACCGACCAAGGTCACTGGGCAGAAACAAGGGCTAGGGAAGGGCGGCGAATTTAATTCAACCCTCAAAAATATTCTGTTGGGGCTGCAGTGATAGCACAGCAGGTAGGGCATTTGCCTTGCACACGGCTGACCTGGGTTCGATTCGCAGCATCCCATAGGGTCCCCTGAGCACCACCAGGAGTAATTCCTGAGTACAGAGCCAGGAGTAACCCTTGTGCATCACCAGGTGTGACCCAAAAAGCAAAAAAAAAAAAAAGTTTTGTCAACAGAACAACACATCATAGAGATGCCTCCAGACCTCGCAACAGGCTGTGTCATCAAGGGCAACCCAGAGCTGGGTGGGTGAGTTCCCCTCCCGACCCCAACAGCGTGCCCGCAGCCAAAACCTCCAGAACTCAATCACCACTGTGCTCAAGGCCACTCTCCACAGGCTCGGATGAGCCTCACCCATGAGGGCATCTATAGAAATACCTGGTACATGGAAACCAAGACTGAGAACTCCAGACTCAACGGAGTTGAGAATGGGTGACCTCCCCCCATCTCCGTATGTTTTGGGTAACTTGGCAGTCTCGCCCACAAAGCGTCTCTGGTGCCACAGAATCTCATTAACGGCCAGACTTGGCAATAAATCTCAGAAGAGAGCACTGAATGTGACACACCATGGGATGCCTCCAGACCCCACACCAGGCTGTCTCATCAAGGGCAACTCCGAGGGGGGTGGGTGAGTTCCCCTCCCCACCCTAATGGAGCCCCAGCAGCCAAAAACCTCCAGAACTCAATTGCTCCCATGCTTGTGGCTGCTCTTCACAGACTGGGACGAGCCTCACCTATAAGTGAAATCTGCTGGATAACTGTATTTTAAATCTTAGGATTTTTTTTTTAAATTTTTATTAGTGAAACACCATGAGGTACAGTTGTAGACTTACAAATTTTTGTGCTTGGGTTTCAGTTATACAATGATTGAGTGCTCATCCCTCCACCGGTGCCCATTCCCCACTCCAATGCTCCCAGCATCCCTCCCACCCCCTCCCCATCCCACCCCAACCCTGTGGCAGGCAGGGCATTCCCTTTTGTTCTCTCTCTCTCTCCTTTTAGGTGCTTTTGTTTGCGAAAGAGGCATTGAGTGGCTATCATGTTCGGTCTGTAGTCTATTTTCAGCATGCATCTCTCATCCTGGGAGGGTCCTCCCAACACCCGTTACTTGGTGCTCCCCTCTCTATCTGAGCTGCCTTCTCCCTCAGTATGTGTGCCTGGCCTCCAACCATGGAGTGAACCTCCTGGTACTTATCTTGGCTATTCTTGGGAGTTAGTCTCCCAATTTGTTACTTTATATTCCCCAGATGTATGCAATCTTTCTGTCTGTCCCTCTCTTGCTGACTCATTTCGCTTAGCATGATACTTTCCATGTAGTACCACTCGTATGTAGATTTCATGACTTCATCTTTTCTAACAGCTGCATAGTACTCCATTGCATAGTAAATCTTAGAATTCTTCGAGCACTCTTTACACCACTGATATAACAAGAGTAGCACACCACATTTCATGGGGTTTAAAGTAGATGGCAATCAATCTTAGGGGGAAAAAATATATATGAACACACAAGGCTCAACCTTTAACAACATGTTAGTAATCTCTTATAAGAAGGGCTTAATAGCGCCTGGGTGAAATACAAAAATTTTCAGACACTTTCCTCTAAGGAAACTTCTTGGGATCAGTTTTAGCAGATTTATACCAAGTAATACAAAAAAATTACTTCGGTTATGCTTTGGGGGTAGAGTGTGGGATTCAGGATGGAAACATTCAAAATATCAGTGGTGGATAAGTATAATGGTGGTGGGATTGGTGTTTGAATATTACAAGAAAACAATTAGTAGTGGGAACAACTTCATAAAATTTAAAAAAATTGTTTTGTTCGGGGGCCAGAGCTGGCACTGCTCAGGGCTTAACTCCTGGCTCTGCACTCAGTTATGTGACTCCTGGTGGTGCTCTGGGAAACAGAAAATGCTGGGGATCAAACCCGGGTCGGCCACATTGTACTATGGCTCTGATGGGAACCTTCAAAAACGCTTTTGAAAAGTTTCTATTTCTACTCTCTATGAATCTCCTTTTAATACCTCGCCTGGCTTCCTGTTCCGCAGTGTGTGTGTGTGTGTGTGTGTGTGTGTGTGTGTGTGTGTGTAGGGGTGTTAGACTGGTGAGTGGCCCCAGCTCCCTCCTCTGTTAAAGGGTGGGGCGGGGGCTCTGGCACTGTCTGGTGATGGCCTCAGTAGCACCAGCTGGCCAGCACGGCTCCGCACTCAGCCCTTCGGCTTCATTAATATCCTTACTCTGATGAATCGAGCCAGCCACTGCAGACTCAATTCCTCATTGATAGAAGGGCTTACAGCAATCATTACTTCTATTTCTGTAGTGCCCTCATGCCCTTGCTATTAATCAGCTGATACAATTCCCTGCCGAGGAAGTTGCTCCTCAGTGCAAAGTGGAGAAGAAAGATAAGGCTTTCAGACGCTCAAGCTAGATCCCAGAGGTAAGACAAGGAGGCGACCTGGGCGGCAAATGGCGACTAACTAGAAGGCACATTCGGGGTCTCTATGGTCTGTCTTCAAACTCTCTGCCCCCTTGTGTCTCTGGTCAAGGCCAGCGCACATCCAGATTTCCTCAAGCAGTACCGCCTCCTCAGGTCATGCCTGGTGGTCTTCCAGGAGACCACCCTGTGTCCTAAGGGAGCACGGGCCAAGAGTAGCCCCCCACTTACACAGACGCCAACTCCAAAGCCTTGTAACAGCCGAGTGGAAAGCAAAAAGGGAGCAATCAGTTCGGTGCAAAAATCAACCAACCCCCCTTGCCCATGTGGTGAAAGTGTGATTTAATGTCAGTCTGAGAGTGTGGAAAACTCACTCTAAATAAACTCATCACGAGGTCGAATCTCAGCTTTCCTGACCACTACTCAGAATGGGCTCTTCATAAAAGAGACAAAATGGGCTCTTCATAAAAGAGACAGAAGCCCGTTTGGGATTTTGTTTTGGCAATGTTCAGGGTTCACTTCTGACTCTGGGGTGTCAGAAATTGAACCCGGGTTTTGGCTGCGTGAGAGTCAAGCTCTCTGGCGGCTATGGCTCTCCACCCATCTTCCCACCGCATGAGCAGGCATCTCCCTTCCTCCCTCTCGCCTCCACAACAAGGAAAACACAATACTGGAGACTTTTGTCAACAACTTGTTTGGGACAGAAGTGTAACTAGAGACTTGCTATCTCTGAAAATGTTACTTGACTAAGGGTGTTTTCTCCCCCTGGGGGCTCCGTCTGGGTGGAGGATGCTGAAGTGGGAATGCCTTGGCCAGGTGCCGGAAGGACCAAGGCCAGAGGGAAGGTGGTTTCAGGGATTCTATTCTGTGGTGGAGGAGCAGAGTAGCTGCAAGGAGAAATCAGTTTCCCCAGCAAATCCAGGCCTTAGGATCAGTGCAAGCCCACTTCATAAACTTCCTGCAGTACCCGGATGTATCAGCATTGTTTTTTACAATTCTGCCACAAAGTACCTAAGATACAGGAGGGGCAGGGAGGCCTGAGTGTCCTCCTCTGTGCTGTCTCAAAACACAGGCTTATCTTCCCTCCCAACTATATAAAATGTTGCCATGTCCCCCAGCTCAAGAAAATTACATTTCAGAACACACAGGCCGGCTGTCCTCAGCACCCAGAACAGTTTGTACTTTTCCTGAGGCCAGGAGGTGTGCACGAGCAAACCCAGGAAACACTACCTGAACCTGCAAGGACCCCACTGGACAAGTGGTGTCAAGATTCCCAGGGTCTCCTCAGGGTAGGGGAAGCAAAGTTCCCCTCCTTTGGCCGTTCTTGGGGTGCATCCACCCTCCTAGGGGCAGGACCATCTTGACAGACAGAGTGCGGGGTGGGGGAAAGGGGGGGATGGACCGAATCCTCCACCCCTTGCTTTCCCCAAGATCCAGAAAGGTGGCATTCAAACAGCTCTGCAGGCCTGTACCACCCTCTTCCCTCAACCTTGCAAAGACCCAGCAGCAGTCTTCAAGGAATCTTGGCAGTCTTCACTGAATCATCCCTCCTTTGTTATGACCTTGTACAGTGACCCTTCTAGAGAAGGGAGGATGTGTCTGGGGGTGGGGGTGAGGCAAAGAGAAGGCCAAGGGCAGATGGAGAGCTCCGTGTTGCTATTATTATTATTTTTATTATACTTTTTGGGTCACACTCGGGGATGCACAGGGGTAACTCCTGTCTTTGAACCCAGGAATTACTCCTGGCAGTGCTTGGGGGACCATATGGGATGCTGGGAATCGAACCCAGGTTGCCCATGTGCAAGGCAAGCGCCCTACCCACTGTACTATTGCTCCAGCCCCTGTTGTTGCTGTTATTATTATTATTGTTATTATTATTAATTGCAGCTCCAGTAATCAAAAACCATACTATGAGCAAGTTTTGTCACTGAGTCACACCCTGCAAGTTAAACCTGGCCATTGCAAAGGTGACTTTGTCAGGGTAGTTTGACAGCATGTTATTTTCTCTAGCACTTTTTAGAAAACAACTACATGCAAGTCTAGTCATTCCAAATTCCACAAAGATCAGACACAGGTCTGTATTTTCTTTTTTGTTTTGGGGCCAAACCCAGCGATGGGCTCAGGGCTGGCTCCTGGCTCTGTGCTCAGGGATCACTCATGGCAGGGCACTGGACACCAGACACAGTGCCAGAGACTGAACTAAGGTCAACTGTGCAAGGCAAGCCTCTCACCCCTGCGTTATCTCCCTGGTCCCACAGGATAGTATATATATATATATATATTTTTTTTTTTTTATGCAGCTGTTCTGAGTGCAGAAGAAAGGAGTAAAACCTGGGTGGACTGCTCGGTGGTTGGGAGGTCTAGAGAAGCAGCAGCCAAGATCAATTGTGTGCTTCCTCCAAGCAGGCGCCTGTTACACAGTGGAACCAGCAATGGTTCTGCTCTGGGC